ACTCGTGAAGGTCACTTCTAGCCCATATTTAGACATACTAGTCACGAAAATAGAGTTTATGACTGTTTCCCAGCATACCAGTTTGAATTCTATAACTCTGTTGAGTCCGTTTTAGCAGTGTCAAAGTGATTAGAGTGAATTGCAGTCAGACTGTAGGTTTGTATCACCCATAATTTTCCAAACTACTAATCTTAGAAAGTGACATCATTCAGTAGTTTCGAAAAGGCTCAGGTTTATTAAATAGAACGTGTGAATGAGATGTAGGCAACAGCTGCAACTGGCACTAGTCGTAAGTTCAAGTTCGTGCGAGCCGCCTACAGCAAGAAGCTGAGTGTCACTGAAACAGTTTGTTAATGTGGTTCATTTAGAATGCCGGGCTGAAGACTTTGAAACGCAATCAGGTCGGCCCCCAAAATAACACTCTAGCTTACCCTACGGTCTGCCGGACCGGCAGTGTTGGTTCATTTGTCATTTCTTTTCGACTATCCGGCCCCCAAACAGCAAAAGTTCAAAATAATCGTACACAAAAGGCTGAGCGTGATAGGCCTCAAGTAGACGTCGGATGGGCTCTGCGATCACACAAATCTCTTTCATGTACCTTAAGAAGAAATAGCCTTCCACGGTGTGGGCAGCCGGGAAGTGTCAACCGCCCTCACAACTCTGTCAGCACTCAAGTTTCCTCAGATGATGATGATGATGATGCGTATGATTTCGTGTTACTATGTGACAAAATAAGAGCTACTCAAATTGCATCTAGTGTGTTTCTCACCATCGAAATGCAGTGCTTTTACGAGACGGACTGAAACCTGTAACTGCACTCACTCTTGGTGATGAACCATTGGAATTGTCGAAAACTGTGTGCATTTGGGTATCTGTATGAGTGCCGACTTCCCATTGTTTATTGACAACCGAAATGGTATACGCCCGCCTGAGTCATTCTTTTTGGCATCATCGAAACATCAGCCTCTCTGTTAAAGGTCAGGTATACGGTGCTTCACTGCGGGCAGTTTTAGTAAACATTTATGAAATACGGTGTCTTCAAGTTTAAAATGTCCAACGACTCAGTGCATTCGATCACCACTATCTCTGTAGGATTGCTCATTCGGTGAGTAATTCTAAGGCAAAATGGTAGGTCTTTAAACGTGATGAAGCTCACTATTTATTGAGTGACATTATCTTGAAATATCAGCCTCGATGGCTTGAACATGTGTTACTTATGTTGTCTCAGCGGCTATCACGCTGTTCACTGTTCTCTTGCTTCAAGATTGGTAAGAAAAAATGAAGAGATGGTCAGTTTTTGACGTGGCGCTGTGAAGTAAGGGATGAATGTATTAAATTAGCATTTTTCTGGTGCCTCGCCTCCCTCGATGGTGTCAGAAAGATCATACAACCCAGTGGCTTGAAATGATAGTAGATGTGGCTGAAAAACGACACGTGTTGGCCATGCTATAGCCTTCTCGTTTCTTTCGTTACTGGGAAGTATAAGGAGAGTAGCGAATGCTTCTTCGGGTGTATTTTTGAAATTGCTTCCCTAATAATCCATTTATGTTTTTGTGTTGATTCTTTTTTCCTCCCTCCTGCACACTATTTTATCTTCTGAGTGTTGCTATATTCTTTTGTGTGATGCATCTTTCGGTGTATGGTTTTAGGCAGACGACCGACTGATTCACATTGCTGTGGATGTACATCGACTGGGACAGATGAAACATGTTTTTATCGTCACAAGCCACTGTCATGTGTGATGTTACATGAAACTGTAGTGTTGCAAAGCTAGAACAAAATGTTTGAGTCATACTGGAAACCATAGACTTCTTATTTGAAGTTTGGACAGAATTAGTGATCAAAGAATGCAATTAATGTTCCTCTAAATCGGTTGAAGTGGTTCAGATGAATCGCTTTATCGTTCCATACTTCAAGTTATAGTAATTGTACATTATCCATTTCTATATTCCATACCTTGGCATTTTTTCTGTTTGCTTTCTGTCATAAGTTATAAGTACTTTAATGTTACTGTAAAGCTTAGACATTGTGTTACGGTATAATTTCGTATTCGGTTGTTTGTTTGGTGTGGGATGCAGTATTTATTTACTGGATGATGTTTTGAGCAAAATTTGCTGCTCATGTCATATCAATCAATCAATGTCAACATAGGACCAGGCATTACTGCATAACGATCCGAGTTGCCACACCTCATATCAGTATATCAAGTAAAAAGGCAGTGAGACGCAAGATGAAGATAAGAGAATGCGGTCAAAAGAAATATATAGTACGAAAAGAGAGGGACGAAGAACGAGAAAGTGGTGAGATTCTGTATAGCGTCGTTAAGATGAGGATAATGTGTGTGTGTATACATCTGCGCCACTGACATAAGTTCTGAGCTATATCACCTAGAGTCTCCAACCACTGGTTCCTCTTGTCCCACGGACCCCAACCACCTAGTCTGCGTCGCCCCACATGGCTCAAACCAACAGTCAGAGACTTCATACATTGGTGCCATGTTTTAGTGTGGCCACCTCGGGCCTTTTTCCAGCCTGGACTTACTTCGGCCAACATTGTGTGATGAGGCAATCGGTGACTGGGCATACGTAGTACGTGTCTCAACCATCTCAGTTGATGAAGGTTCACAACGATGTCAACTGACTTACCTCTTCTCCTTAAAACTCTACATGTGTCATATGCGTTCATTTAGTAGTCACTATCGTTATTCTCTGACTAACTGACAAAGTCAACTTAGATACTCTCATAGGAGTGCATTGGCTCAAGTTGCTACACTTTACAGCGGTACATAAAGAACAAGTGGATAGAAAAAGTGATATCGAAGTAGGTAAAGTTGTGTTAGAGAATTAACGTGAAGATAAAGGCTAATGCAAATATTCAAGCTTTAAATATCAAGGAGTAAAAATCACCTGCCATATCACCAAGACTCCTCAACCACTCATTTCTTTCGTTATGGGGACCCCAACTAGGCAGTTTGAATCGCTCTACATGTTTCAGACAAACAGTAAGAGACTTCACCGACTAGTGCCAGGTCTTGGTGTGGCTACCCTGAACCCTCTTCCAACCGAATCTATCTTCCCCTAGCATGGCACATCGATGTTGGCGGTGGCTTGGCATGCGCAGTACGTATCCAGGGCATCTCAGTCAATGAAGGTTAACCTCATGAATCAACTTGTCTGTCTTACCTGATACCCTTCGCTAAACCTCCACATTGCTCACACGGTGATTCCACCAAACGCAAGCAACGCTACAAAGGTTAGCTGTGTGAAATGTTCGAAGGTGACTAAGTATTCAGAAATAAAACTGTTGAGGTCAGGTGAAGGGTATTAGGTAAAATAACAAGCCGATTCATGAGGTTGTGAACCTTACTCAACTGAAATGGCTTGGTATATGTACTGCGCATGCTAAGCTACCGCCAACTTCGACGTACCATGCTAGAAGTTGTACTAGGTCGCGAGATGGTTCAGGGTCACCAGACCAAGATGTGTTACCAGTCAAGGAAGTCTCTTACTGTTGGTCTGAGCCGTGTGAGGAGATATAGGCTGCTTGGTTGAGATCGCCGAAACGAAATGAATGAGTAGTTGAGGACTCTTGTTGACATGGAGGAAAATCGATGAGAATGGCGCAGATGTATTCACTCCTTGATATCCTCCAGCGCTTGAATATTTGCAAGAAGTTTCATCTTCAGACTTTTTATTGTCGCCCACTACTTTATGCACTTTAATTTCGCTCTTATTTTATCCATTCTATCCATTTGAGAACAATTACTGTATTACCAATAAAAAATAACGGATATTATTTAACCTGTTTTATCTCTGACAAATAAGCAAAACAGTGTAAACCCCCCTAGAAGTTACTTTTAGTTAGAATTCTTGAGAATAATGTAAGTTATACGTGTATAAATTAGATGTATGCTCTGCATAAGTTACTCATTACAGATCATTAAATTTCAACTATATATCCTTATCTCTTAGCTAGGTAACCAACATAGCTTTTCAACATCATTGAGTAGAAATCTGTGTATGTTTTGCATGCGTTTCTCACCTGTCCAATGTCAGATAATGCCCCAGGACCGGTCTGGAATCACTCCCAGTTTATTTGACCACAAGTGTCATCGTAGCATTGCTTGCGTATGGTGGAATCATCAATTTAGAAATGCCGAGGTCAGGCAAATGATACTGCGCTAGACACAGGCAAATCAGTTGTGTGCATGCTGAGCTGCCGCCTGTTCTAATGTGTGATGCTAGAACTTAGATTAAATTCGAATAGGGTTCACCGTGGTCAGACCAAGTCGTGGCACCAATCTACAAAATCTGATTGTTGTTTTGTTTTGTGTAGTGATATGTAGGCTACTTGTCTAGAGTCCTCGAGATGATAGGATTCAGTAGTTGGGGATTCTTGGTGAAATAGCTGAAAATCAGTGATGATAACTCAGATGTATTCATTCTTTGACGCCTTCTAAAGCTTAAATAATTTCTATCTGGAGGATTATGGAGATTTATTAATTTATTTTAGGTTAGAATTCATCATAGACTGACATGAGTTGGAGGAAGATTAGAAACCTGGGAGCACTAGACAGCTGTTTCGTCCTGGTGTGGGACTCCTCATCAGTGCACACCCATGACCCCGCCAGGGGTCGTTAAATTTCTTTTTAAGTTCCCCTCTCCTCTCATACAGCTTTGTCTACTTTGATATCAGACTTTTCTTATCCACTTTTTCATTGTAAATTACTGTCAGTTTTGGCAATTTGAACTAGTAGACTTGTGTGTGAGGTTGATTTTGTTTGTCTTCTCAAGTTCTGTATTTGGTAGAACGTGCTGATAAACTCAAATCTATGTGGTTGTGAAATGTCTTGTAATACTTAAGGTTGTTGAAATTTAAATGTTGCTTTTCTTTTCATCCAACAGGTAGTCCCTTGAAATCTTCTACACATACTTAAACAAAAACATTTTAACAAAATTGTAAATATATTTCACATCGTTTCATAATTTGAATAGTGAGAAATGGTGAATCATACTGTCAGTGAAGCGTGTACAAATTATTTTGAGCATGCTAGTGATATGGAAGACAATATTGATACTTTAGCGTCTACAACTACAAATATTACAGAAAATAACAGATCAATGATGTTATCATCTACATCGGATACACTGATGGCACCTCCTTTACCTCCACAGCATAGTAAATCGCATTCTTCTTCATCACTTTCAACACCGGGTGGTGATAATTGTAATATAAAAATACTTATGGACACCAATACTCGTCGAAGTGATTGTAAAGATGCCTCACAGATAATCATTTCAGCTATTGATGCACAAGTGAAGTCTATCAATGAAATGTTGTTATACTTTTCAAAATTAGTTAAAGCTGAGAAGACTGTTCAACAAGCTTTATCAGATTTATTAAGTGATCAAAAGGAATCCAGTGGTTGTGGGAATCAACGTACAAATCCAAATATGCGTAATTTATTCAGAGGGAATTCTCGTCGACGTGGACGTTTAACAATGAATATTTTAAATAAAAACTCCTCATCGAATACAGCTACTGATGGAGAACTGAACAAAGTAAGTACTTGAGATTATATTCATCAGTAAACAAGACTATTTATATCATCCTCAGTATCTTTGTTAGTTTCAACTAAGTAAACCACAAGTTTCCAACTTTATTTGTGTAGATTTCTATGGCTTTCACCTTTGTTGTAACCCATGAATTCTAGAATTAGTACTCTACTACTTAGACTGGTATACTCATTTAGAGCGTCAGAAAACCTATACTGAAGTCACTCTTGCCGTTTCTAATAACCCCCAATGGCTTTGAAATTTACATCCTGTGGGTATATTACATTCAGTGAGATGTATGAAATTCTGTCTTTACTGAACACTGAAAACATCGTTGAAAAATCATATAAATCACTTTTCTCTTTAAAGTTGATTATTGACTATTTTTATACGAGAAAATAAGACAATTTTCCAACATCAGATAATACACAGATTCTCTTGAAATTGCAGATGTTCTTCTGTATGGATGATTCTAGGTTGTCAAATTGTTGAATAAACATGATATCCACATTGTAGTGTATTGTGTATGTGTCAAGAGTGTATGAAATACAGATTGAGATTTGAATGTACACATATGGTGATATAGTTTTTATCGCATGTATATTGGTTGTCAGTATGTTGTAGGGTTGGGTTGAAACCAGGTCAAATTACTTCAGTTGATCTAAGAATACCTAGACTCTAAGTGAGAATCATACTTGTTTTCAGAGGACTTATGATACCATCCGATTGAAGTACGTAAGTTCGGACTCGAATTAGTGGGCTCATTGTTTGGAATCTCAATAGCCAAGTCAATGAAGCATTCCAGTGATACTTTCATGTCAATACTTGTCTAATCTATCACCTAATGTTCTTACTACTACCACCACCACTAATACTGGACACTAATTGACACCTATTTTACCTCCTTAAATGAATGAGTATTGTTCATTTGCTTTCTCATATGCTTAAATTTCATTCATATCAAAACTACTCATCTCCTCTATAATGTTAATCTTCTTTTCCAAACGTTTCTGATAATACAATTACACTGATTACAATACTACCAGTGAAAATAATTCTCTTCTTATCTCTTCACACAGTTTCGCCTATCCTGTATACACATAATAAGATTTTCTGCATCATTTAATGACCCGATAATCACCGCGATATTATAACATTGAGATAGATATGAAGGATTTCTTGTTGACCCACTTTATCTCTAAATATCTTAATCAATTGTAGTGCAAATAAACATTTCACCTGTGATTCAGGTTATCCTAAACATCTAATTTGATAAGATGGAATAAAAGTGGCTAAAATCATGGTTAGTAATATCACACCAAGGTGGTATTCATCACAGACTGATGTCAGTTGGAAAAACTTGAATCCTTTGGAGTACTGAACACCTACCCCATTCCAGTACACGACTCCTCCTCACCAGTGTGCACCCATAACCACATCAGGCATCACAATAAGCACGTTAATCATTATGTTCAAATTTTATCATTCCTATCAGTTCACAGCACAGTGCGATCAATGTCAGGACACAACAGTTGTCCAGTACTCCCACACTTTCAGTACCTCTCCAACTGATGTCAACTCTTGTTAAATACTGCTTTGAAATCGGTCAGTCTCTCACTCTCACATACTTTCAAAATGAATATTATATCACTTAGAGGTCGACGAAAACCCTTCGTGACAAAAGTGGACATCTGATCAGTACAGATGAATATTGTAGCCCAGTCGATAGAGCACCCGGTAGATAATCCGTGGATTTCAGCTTAAAAAACTATCACAACCCATTGTTCTACTTCATATCTGTATATCATTCATTAAATGAATTTATTGAAAAAGAGTATTTTACATTCTAACTGACTTAATTCCACCAAATTGTTCTCAATATCCGAAGACATCTGCACACACTTCTGTGTTGCCTTTTTCTCCCAACACATCAGGACATACTAAGTGATGTATTACCAGCTGCTAGAACACAATAGTAGACTTCATCTTTGTAGTGAAATGGTGTGAACCAATGAAAACTACTAGTGGTCAATGAACTGAGTCTCTGCATTTCAACGTAGAATGAGACTGACAAGGGTTTAGGCCTGTCATCAGAAGACAAAAATAAGTCACAAGTAGATAGATGAAAAGGTGTGAATATGTCCATAACTACTTCATCTGAACAATTGGATACACTGTGAGATGCAGCTGAATTGATAGTGTGTCAGTTCTGCAAATGGTGATGGCAATCTGAAAGGAATCAGTCATATAACTGGTTTTCTGTTACCATCTCAACAGAATGACAAACATGAATACACACCGAATACTGCAGGTAAATGAGTCAATAAAATGTCACTTATCCATCCCCTTTCGCATCAGGTTACCATTTACCTTAAAGACATTAATAATGACAGACAAGATGATGAATAGTAAAGTAAGGAGAACTTACTTGACAGGCCTAGCTCGATCATCATGCCAAAGATCTTGGATATCAGGCAGAGATAATAGATTTGTATGATTATCTGAATTGAAACCATTGGAACTATCATCCATAGATGAGTTGACAACTGATGAACCAGTCGATATGATAGATGGATGCATATTGTGCGTTGAATTCAACCATGGATTTGGACCTGGATTGGCGAAAACTGCTCGCCATTGAGATAATGCTTCTTCCCATTGTAGGCATTCTTTAGTCATTTGATTGACAGTCTCTCGATGAAGCAATTCCTTGTTCTTGTGTAGTTGTACTCTGTTTTAAAAGGAGTCCAGGAAATGTGAACAAGTAAAACCTTACTTACAACATAAAGATAAGCCTATAACAAGACTGTCCAAGTCTTTATACTCATTACCAATGGATACAGTATCACACTTCCACTGTCCAGTTCCATACCTCCAAGAAAAAAAGTGTAGTTAGCCAAGGATTTTCTTATTTCATCTCAGAGTACTCAACTTCATTCATCACATTCTAAGAATTGAGTCAATCCTCTCCTCTTCATCGCCTCGGTATGAGTCTGTGTGACAGATATCAACCTTATTTAATAAGCCAATTTTAACGTGGTATGAAAAACGTAGAGCATCACAGAGTCAAACTAACCTCAGTGAATACAATGAAATAGACTAGTAGAATACAGTGAAATCTATTCACAAAATAGAATATATTATGAAATTAGATCGTAAAACTACCAGTAAATCATGGGCCTCAACAATAGTCATCACACACCGATCAGACGCCTTGGATGAAGTTAGGACAGTGTTCAATAAGTGTAGCATCCGAATATTCTCTACGACATCAAACACATTGAAGAGCACTTTAATGGATATGAAGGACGAAATTCCCCTGGATTCACAATCGAATTATGTTCACAAAATAAAATGCTCAAACTTTGATCGAGTATACATAGGACAAACTTCATGTAGAATCAAAAGCAAGAAAAAACAAACTGAACACCCGGAGAGCTTAACATCTAAAACGAAACTTGAAAACATTTCAGCCATAACTGGTCAACACGCTATCATTTCAGGTCATAAGGTCGAAATTATTCAGAAAGGTGAGTTTACAAATTATAAACAATGTTCATGATTCGATTATCTCAGATAGCCATAGTTTGGCAGACTAGTATTTGTACTGGATGATGATTGAAGGTGAGATAAAAAAAATCCGTATCGCGGTCGGACTCGAATCAGCGACCACTAATTTACCGGCCCAGTGCTCTACCAACTGAACTACGAGGTGCGACTACTGACCACAATTTCATTTCACTTCAATCAACAACCAAGGGTTTTGCCCAACTACCAAGTGAATCTGTGACGCCTTACTACCACTTGATCATATTCACACTGGCTGCCCACCAGTCAGGACTTCTCATCCCAATCCAAATCTAATTGATTCATCTCACCTTCTATCATCACCCAGTACAAATACTAGTCAGCCGAACTATGACTATCTTACATAGTCGAATCATAATCAATATGATGCTCACCCTCTCTGATTCAGTTAGAATTGGATTGGGATGAGAAGTCCTGACTGGTGGGCAGCCAGTGTGAATATGATCAAGTGGTAGTAACGCGTCATGGATTCACTTGGTAGTCGAGCAAAACCCTTGGTCGTTGATTGAAGTGAAATAAAATTCTGGTCAGCAGTCGGACCTAGTAGCTCAGTTGATAGAGCACTGGGCAGGTAAATTAGTGGTCGCTAATTCGAGTCCGACCGCGGTACGGATTTTTTTTTATCTCACCTTCAATCATCATCCAGTATAAAAACAATATCTCGTACCGAAATATCTTCACACAAAGTGGAATTAGAATTGTCTACATGGAAAGGAATGAGGGAATAAAACATAATTTCATCTGGTCTCAACCCACTCTCTCACATTCTGACGTTACCAACACACGTGAGTACATACAAGTCCCAATCTGTAATTCACATACTAATCAAACACAATATACTACAATATGGATATAATCTTTATTCAACAATTTGACAATGTAGAATCATCTATGCGGAAGAACACACACATATCAAGCAACCATATATAATCATTTTGAGAATTTAAGTTAGTCGGGGTGTAAGAGACTAGTTTGATACTAAATGATGGTTGAAGGTGAAATGAGAATTTAGGTCATGGTGGGGTTCGAACCTGGCGGTCGCTCAATATTTTTCAAACCATCAAATCTCAACCTGCTTTTGACCATCTAAACATTGACTACACTTAACTTCGTATTCTTTAGGAAGGCCTACAAAATGTAAGAAGACCAACTAGCTGAAGAGTTCAACATTAGAATGTGTCGTACATCAGATAGAAGGAAATATAATCTAGCTTCAATTTTGTAGGTTTGTGGGGATTTTTACTGATTGATTGATTGATTTCTGGTTAGTACTTATCGAGGACTGACATGAGTTGGAGAAACATTGGATACCCAGGAGCAATGGGCTGCTGTTTTGTCCAAGTATAGGGCCCCACCCCAGTGTTCACCACTGCCCCTGCCCCACAAGAGATGGAACTCAGGACGTCTATGTTCCACTTCCACCACAGTACCATTCAGCCTCTGGATCAGAATCCAGTGGTCCACATGTCCTACTTATATCAGTCCACAACATAGCGCGACTTCCATTGAATGTCGCCATTGAATAACTGCCTTCACCACTATTATTATTATAATTATATATCCCTTGGTTTTCGAGTGGAACATGGGGCTTCAGTGGCACCCTAACCCTAATCACGCACATTACAAGACAATATAGAAATAATCTTTGTTCAACTATTTCACAATGTAGAATCATCCATGCGGAAGGACACAAATCAAGTTATTATATATGCGCTTGGTTATTGTAAATTCCGGTTTACTATAACTTTGATAAATCTGTTAGCAACATTAAATAGCGAAAGGTCAGTTGAAACCAATGTACATTCATTAGGAAATACAAATACCAAAATAACTAGTATACTGAACTCTATGTGGTGGTTAACATGTAGATAATGTATATAAGTACATCTATGCCAGTGAGATGGATTCTAAGCCATGTCATGTAGAGTCTACAATCGCCGGTTTCTGTGATTACCTGGACTCTAACCCACAAGTCTACATTTAGCTACATGGTTCAGAGCAACCGTCAAAGATTCGTATACTAATATCATGTCTTAGTTTCTTCGTTCCAGCTTAAGCCTAATACAATTATTCAAGTAGTGACTAGGCATATGTAACACATTTCAATACATACATATACAAACATTTGTGTCATATATCGAAAGTCACTTTATTTACCTTGGCTTGGTTAACTAAGCAGTGTATAAGCCCTGATAAAATTTTTCTATATTATCTACTACCGTCTACCTCAACGTCGTGCTAGGCTAGGCTAGTTGAAGTTAGATGAAGTTGGAAGACAGTCAGGGTTGACCAGACCAAGAAGTGATACCAGTACACAAAGTCTCTGATTCGTTAGTCTTAGCTGCGTGAAGAGATATAAACTATCTCACCGGGGTGACCGAAGACGATAAGAATTACTTGATGTGCTGATATGAGCTGTGGCAACTCGGACCGGATGATGATGATGATGATGAGTGAGATGGCTAAAAATTGGTGACAATTGCCCAGATGACATCTTAAATTCATCTGTTCATGTTTAACTTCTAAATCTCCTTCTTATTTTCAATTGTTAGCTTTTACAAAATCTTGTCATCTCAACAAATCATCAAGTACGCATGTATTCAACACGTGCACTATTTCATAAATTAATAACAGCTGGCCAGTTGGATAGTTTAAATAATTGTGAACAATGTTTAAAGCGAACTTACATGGAATGTGAAGAGGAACTGAAATCTCAAGCTCGTCAGGTGAGTATGTCTTTTCTTAATATTGTAAAATAATTTGTGTAATATATTTTGATTCGACTAGCATACAGTTTCATCCACTGAAGGGATTATATGAATGTGTACTATTGAAAACCTAGGAGGATAAGACAGCTATTTCGTCCTTGTATGATACTTTCTCACCAGCATACATCCACAATCCCACCAAGAATTCCACGATGAATGTGTTAACCATTGAGTCATAGGGTTGGAGTTCATTGGTCCACAGTTTCTCACTTCTGTCAATTTGCTGTATAGTTCGACTATCCACCAAGATTTTCACTTGGTATCCGCTCCACTTCTGTTTGGTTGATCCAACAGGTCATAGCTTCTCGTTAGAACTTCGGGATATCCTTCTCGAAGCATGTCATATATAAGCATTATACAGTCATTTCATTTATAAGTTTATTTTCATAGTACCCTTGTTGTATGCCTCTTTTCATTACAACAGTCAAGTTAGGCTCTTTCACCATCGTATATCTAAACAAATTAGTGGTAGACCGTTACCACCAACTGTTAGCTAAATCAATATTTTATGGAGATTGGGTTGAAGATCTTCTTGTTCAACTTTAAGGTTAACAGTAACATACCAAGATTGATTGAACGCAAAGATATTACTAGTTCAAAATGGTGTGGATGCTCTTGGTTGCATTGTGTTCTCTGGTTGTTTAGTCGTGAAGATGCTTTCATCGTCTTGCCAGACGACATCTACATCAGCACTAACTTCAGTATGAAGTAGTGAGCTGTCGTTAATATCTCTCCGTGAGTGATTTAGTAGCTTACCGTGACCAAACTGGTTTGTGATCGGTTGTTTTCTTTGATTGTTGTATCATTGACCGATTGCATATATTTTCCTGTTGGCTGTTCCTCTGCTTGACTTCTGGCCTTTCTGTAAAGTCAATAACACAACAATCAAAGGGAACAACCAATCAGAAACCAGTTCGTTAGGGCAAGCTACTGAATCAGTCACGGAGAGATATTGACGGCAGCTCACTACTTCACAGTGAAGTTAGTGCTGATGATGTTGTTGGTTGACCGGTTTGTTCACGTTCTACTCACTCATCTTCTTAATCCTCTAACTTAGCTCATGGCTATTATCAATTCGCGGTGTTCATCTAAAGTTGTCTGTAATCATTGTTACTTAATACTTGTAATCTCCTGTTGCTATACTGCGTCGAATTGTTCGACATCTGCTGGCAGATGGCCTTCTATGCGAAAACCTCGATACTGCTGGATACTCATAGGAACCTATCTCTGCCAGCAGATGTCAAGCGACTCGGCTGTCTATAGCAACGGGAAATTACAAGTATTGGCAAACAAAAACTGGTACCCGTTGCCATCGTGCCCCAGTGGCCTAGTGGATAACGCTTTCGCGTTTGAAGCAATGGGTACTGGGTCCGAGTTTCCTCAGTAGGAACAACATCACTCACTGCGGTGCAGGTACATCTAGTTGGCTAGTGACTCCCAAATAGGAGGAAGCTCGCTTTCTAGACCCCACTGCTAGTCACCATGATAAATATGACTTATACATTTGCTGATTATTTTCATACATATAAATTGATTGGTCACTTGAGAGCAACCAACCAGTCTCCTGAGTGCTGACCAAATTCAACCGATCATTCTTTAGTGTGGCCATCTAGTTACGTTAAGCTAAACATCGCAGGAAACCCTGTCGCTTGACCTAGTTTTTCTGCTTGTTGGCACTCGTTAGCAAGGTTGTAACATGAGTTTGAATCTTCTGAAGGGGGGGGCATTACTTCCGTTAAAGTTAAAGGGCCTCCAGTCAACTAATGCCTGGATATGATTCAGTGGTTGAAAACCTGATTGGAAGAGAAGTAGGCTTCAAGAAGTAGTATATTTTCATCACTTTTTCGGGCGCTGTCGTGATTTAATGTTGTTTATATTATCCCGTCGTTGATCAGACTGAATCGATCGATCTTTATTGGCATATGAGCTCCTGCACGGATGCCTCGATATTACCTGTACTTCAATTATATATTAACGATAGATAGTGGTTAGGAGTGGAATCCAGGCTGACGCTCATTTATTCCTATTTGGGACTCGTCTGCTGAACGTACCTGCCTCCCAGTGAGTGGTGTTGTTCCCACTGGGACTTGAGTTCGCGATCTATCACCGTCTTCAGTATGCGGTTGGACTGTATTTCAGAAGATAATTAATTTATTTAGCAATAAGTAATGTGTATGTATAGTGGTGTATTTTATTTACTGGTCCCAACTCTCATACTGGGTTTGTGAATAGACTTTCACTTAATTTTCTTTATAGTGAAACTGTGTCTTGGTAGTTTAGGGAAGTGACTATCAACCATTCGGTCACGGGTCCGGGTCCCGCTCCACCTATTGAGGTTCAGGTAGCCAGGTAGTAGGAGTCATTAGCTCTCACATACAATAGGTGTGGCTCATTGCCACCTAACGAGATATTGGGATGCAAGCTACAATTTACAACCAAAAAGGATAAAAGGTTTAATGACTAGTCAGTAAATTCCACCGGCTACATGAACTATGTTTCTTTCTTTAATGCTTTTTCTTTTTCTTTTCCAGTATATATTGAGTTTGAAAGCCTATGAGAAGAAATATATCAAGTATACTGGCCAACTATCTAATATACAATTGAAATTAACAAATCTATGTGATAAACGTGAGTTAATCATTGTCTAATTATTTGTATACACGTGTATTAAGAAGTTGTTGGTGTGCTATAATGGTTAATCTGAAGCATTTCCAGTTGTGTACCAGATGATGATGATGATGCTCCAAAACTGGTCTGTTGCAATCACTTCCAGTTTAATGATAGGGAGTGAAAATGGGGGGGGGAATGCGTAGTCCACTTCACTCACTTTGGGAATTTGATCAGTCTAAACCGACTGGTTGTTGACGAAATCTCAGCTTGGGTACAGAAGACCCATTTTGATATTTGCCAACTGACGAGATATCCGACTATTTATCGAAGGAAGAGTATCCTAAACAGATGTCTTCATAGCATTGCTCGCCTTCGCTGGAATCACCATATGAGCAATTTTGACGTCAGGCGAAAAGTATTAGGCAAGACAGGCAAGTCGAATGATGAAGCTCTAAACCTTAGTTGAATGAGACAGCTTGAACTCGTACTATTCATGCAGAGCTACCACTTATCTTGCGTAAGTTGGATTAGGTTAGCCAGACCACGACATGACATCAGTCGATGACCTCTAACTGTTGGTCTGAGCCGTGTGAGATGTGGACTACCTGACTAGAGTCCCTGAGATGTAGGAATGAGTGGTTGCGGACTGTTGGTGAGATGGTTGAAAATCGGTGACAGTTGCGTAGATGTATCTACTCTTTGACATCTTCTCAAGCTTGAATATACATACTCACTTTTGTCTTCAGATTATTTATTCTCTCACACAATTTTGTCTACTATAATATCATTTTTTATTTCCACTTGTTCTTTGTATATTATTGTAAAGTGTGACAATTTCTGCCGATACATTTGCGTGTTATGTTTTGCGTTGATTTTACCAGTCTGTCTTTCAGTGACTAGATGGAGCTGCGGTTGATTGATTTAGAGAGATAATTTTCAACTAATAAGCCAAGACCATGGAGTTAGCGTGCATCGTGAAAAATCATTCTGAAATTAGCTTATATCCTGGATCATTATTTGAACAGATAGATATACGCTACACAGCATGACAGTATTGAAAAATTCAGAGTTTGCAAATTAATTCACCTATTCGAAAAACATGAGATCTTCTGCACTCAGCATGCGGAACAAGATACGGATTTTCAACACCAACGTCAAGTCAGTGCTTCTGTATGGTTCAGAGACTTGGCGCGTCAAGAAAGGGATTTCCAATAAACTACAGACATTCATCAACAACTGCCTACACCGGCTCGCTACTGAAGATCAGATGGCCAGAATAACAAGAATAAGCAACAAGGAGCTCTGGGAACGAACCAACCAAGAACCTATCACGCAACAAATATGCAGGAGGAAGTGAAGATGGATTGGGCATACACTGAGAAGGCCGACTGGGGACATCACGAGTCAGGCGAGTTTCTCGAGTGGAATCCCATGGGAAGCGACGAGTTGGGCGTCTGAGGTGAGGGTGACATGGAGGAGGTCGTGCGAGGAGGAAATGAGAGCTTGTGGGCTGTCATGGAACCAGGTTCAAAAGATTTCGGGGAACAGAGTTCACTGGAGACGTGCTACTGAAGCCCTATGTTCCACTAGGAACCCAAGGAACTAGTAATCTCAACAACTGCAACAACTAAGATCACAAGTTCAGCTGTGATAATTATGATTGAAATCATCTTGAAACATTGAATTCGATGGCTTTATTGGAGGTGTGTTGACAAACCATTTACTTACTATTCTTTTACCCTACGACTGGTTAAAAGAAGTGGAGAGAGATGGACAGTGTATAAGATGGTGCCATGAAATGAAGGGTAGTTGTGTTTAGTTGACATCTGTAGACGTTCCACAACTCTCTAGATAGGATGCAACCTGATGACGGACAATTGAAACTAGTGTTGGTCATGTTGTTGCCTTTTTTTTGTTTCTTCTGTTACTAACAAGTGAAAGGAGAGTTGATGTTGTTGAGTAGTGTTCCTGAAACTTTTGAGAATTTTTGTCGAATGTTAGTTACATGAACATCATCATCACATTTATGTAGACAAGTTGCAGCTGGCTTATATGTCTTCCTGTTTAACATTCGCTAACTTGCGTCATCTCTGGTACCTACTGCCAAGATATCCGAATATCTATCAAAGGAACGAGGATACTACACTCCACTCCGCTCTGTCATATTGTACAGTTGTGAGACATGATCATTAAAAGTATAAGATATGAAACGGTTATTGGGGTTGGATCAGAGATATCTTCGTAGCAATGCTGAAGTCAGGTAAAGTGTATTAAGCAATACAGGTAAGTTGATTGATGAGGTTGTGAACCTTAGTTGAATGAGATGGCTTGAACGTAAACTACACATGCAAAACTATTGCCTATCCAGGGTAAGTTGGGTTAGGTTGGAAGAGGATTCAGGTGGCAAGATGAAGACATGACACCAGTCGATTAAGTCTTTAACTGTCGGTCTGAACCATGTGCGGAGATATAGATTACCTGACTGGAGTCTGTGAGACGAAAGGAATCAGTGATTGTGGAGTCCTGGTAATATGGCTGATAATCGGTCACAATAGGCACAGATGTATTTACTCATTGACATCTTCTGAAGCTTGAATATTTGCGGTAGCTTTTTTCTTCTTCGACATCACTCTTTTTCTACCCACTTGTTCTTTGTGTGCGAAGTCCTACATTGATTTTGTCTGTCTTGTTTGTAACTGATCAATGGAAGCTATCTAGCTAACTGCATGGGTCTTACATTCTTGTTGAAAGCTTCATGCAGTACCTGTATGTTAAAAAGTCAAGAAAAGGTAGCTTCTAGGTTGCTAGGTATATTGAACCGCTTATAAAGGTGACCAAAGGTGTTAATCAATTTTTATTATTATATTATTTGTTCCTTGAGTTCCTAGTGGGACATAGGGCTTCAGTAGCACGTCTCCAATGCACTCTGTTCTCTGTAAGCTTTTGAACCTGGCTCCATGACAGTCCAGAAGCTCTCATTTCTTCCTCACACGATCTCCTCCATGTCACCATCGCCTCGGACGTCCAACTCGTTGTTTCCCATCTGGGTTTCACTCGAGCAACTGGCCTGGCTCGTGATGTCCCCAGTCGGCCTTCTCAGTGTATGCCCAATCCAATCCATCTTCACTTCCTTCTGCATATTTGTTGAACGATAGGTTTTTGGTTGGTTAGTTGTCAGAGTTCCTTGTTGCCTATTCTTTCTGGTCATCTGATCTTCAGTAACAAGCTAGCGTAGGCAGTTGTTGATGAATGTCTGTAATTTGTTGGAAATGCTTTTCATAATGCACAATGTTTCTCAACCATCACATAGAAGCACTGACTTGACTGGATTGGTGTTGAAAATCTGGATCTTGTTGCACATGCTGAGTGCAGATCTCCACACTGGTTTCAGGTTACTGAACACCTGTCTTGCTGTTTTTCCGATCCTGGCTGGCTTTGACATCCTCGTCTGTGCCTGTGCCACCTGTAGTTGAAACGGTGCTGCCTAGATAGATGAAAGAGGCTACTTCCTTTAAGTTTCTCCCATTGATAGTGATTGCAGCTTGTTGTTGTTGTTGGTGGTGGTGGTAGTGGTGTTGGTTGGGTATCTTCATCACCTCTGTCTTCTCTACGTCCACTTGAAGGGAGTCCCGTTTTCGCTGCCCTGCCCTGCCTCTTCTGTCAACTTGTTAGTTTTCGCTTGTAGATCTTGAAGTTTGTGTGACATTAGACACAAGTCATCATTGGCGAAGTTGAAATCTTGTAGGATCTTTTCCGCTGTCCAGCGTATGCCCATCTTCTCGCTCCTCACTGTTTGTTGCATGATCCAGTGCAGTCGACCACAGTCAGGAAGATCATGGGTGATAGTAGACTGCAGTCTTGTTTCACTCCTGTCTTCACTTCACTTCAAAGGTATCACTGATCTTCCCATTGTGAATTACTTGTCATGTGGTGTCTTCATATAGTTGTTGAATGATGTTGATAAAGGTTTGTGACACTAGAATCGTAGTGTTGAAGTAGTTTCCAAATTACTTGTCGGTGGATGCTGTTGAGGGCCTTTTCAATGTCGATGAAGTTGAGGTTGAGTTGACTGCCATTCTATGCTCTGTTAAAATGATGATGCGTAGTGTGGCGTTGCAATTTGGTTCGCACATGATTTGTACTTCCTGAATCCAGCCAGCCTGTTCCGGTCGTAGTTTTTGAATCCAGCGCATCTTTTTGTCTCTCCAGGATGATGGGGCATAATATTTTACTTGGTGTGGACAGGAGAGTGATTCCGCGCCAGTTCTTGCAAACACTTAGGTCACCCTTTTTTTGGAGTTTGACAAGGTAGCCCTTCTTCCAATCGCCAGGTACGTTCCCTTCCTTCCACACCTGAAGTAGTGGTGAGCATGTTCGCTGTTGTCTCTGCGTCTGTTCTCAGTGCTTCTGGCGGGATCCCATCTGGTCCTGCTGCTTTCCTGCATTTCAGTAGCCTTATGGCGCCCAGGACTTCGGCTTTCGTTGGAGGGTCTGTGTTCACTTGTAGTTCTGTGGCTGTGGTGTCGGTGGTATTTCTGGATGAAGTGCAGGTGGTGATCAATTCAAGAGCTTCTTGAAGTGGTCGGCCCATTGTTTCCTCTGTTTCTCTTCTTTCGTAATTAGGTTTCCTCCATCATCTTTTATTCGTTTCATCTGTGTTGATCTGTTCCCTCTCAGATAGTAATCTGGTTATTTGATACAATGTCGTCAGGTCTCTGTCTCTCCTACCTGCAGTCTGTTCTGCTTCACTTGCCAATGTGTCGTAGAAGTGTCTTTTGTCTTTGCGTGCACTCTTCTTCACTTCTTTGTCCACTGCAGTGTTTTATACATTGTACTCAGTTCCTCTTGTTGTTGTGCATCCTTGCACTGTACTGGTTTATCTTCTGCTTTACCATCCTCCTCTCCTTACTCTATCAGCTTCCATGTATCCATTGAGATCCATTCCTTGCCTTCTTTCTTCCTAATAAGGTTGTGTAGGTTTCTTTCCACATCTCTTTCAAAGACTTCCAGTGTTCTTCCACACAAGTTTCTTCAGGGATATTCCTCGATATCTTCCATTTTGTCTTGATGGCTGCCGTGAAGATGCACTTTGTAGTTTCATCCTTCAGTTTCTGTTCCGAGTGTTGTACTTGAACTGTGGTCTATCACCAACTTCTTTGAAGGTCTTCAACTTGATTTTGAAGGTAGGTTCCTTGGACTAGATAGTGACGTGTCTGAACCTACATTTGCTCCTCTTGTTGTTCTGATCTTGTCTCCAGTAGGCTGGCTGCATCTCCACTTTCTTCACATTGAGATGAAGTCGATCTAATTTTTGGTGTGTCCATCTGGTGAAGTCCATGTCGCTTTTTAATATACTTGTGGTTATATACACTGCCTCCCATCACCAAATCGTTGAGTGCGCAGAAGTCTGCAAACAATTCTCCATTCTCGTTCATCACCTCACCGAGCTCTTCTCAACCCATGGTTAGTTCTCTTCCTGTATTGTCCGCTCCCAGTTTGGCTTTCATGTCGCCCATTAGAATTTTGATGTCACCAACTGAGGTCTTGTCCAGTGCTGATTGCAGTTGTCCGTGGAATTCCTCCTCCTCTTCATCTGCATTATTTGTAGACGCATAGCGTAGTGTAGCATTGTATGATTGTGACTTTCCTTCCTTTTGAGTTGAATCTTGTTGTCATGATCCTGGAGGAGGAGATTGGTTCCCACTGCATGAGAGCCTTCGATGTACTTGAGGATATCATGATAGCCACTCCCTCCGTGTGCTCGTGGTCAATTTGTTCAAGTAAAGTTGTCATTTATAGCGTAATCCACGTTACTGACAAGAGTCAGTGATGCATTCCACATTGATTGACAACAACAAACGACAACAACATCAAACATTTGATTATATGTCACACACTGTTATGACTAGAATTGAACTTGTTATCTCTTCAAATTACCAGAATGCTAACCACTAACTTTTCAAACCAATAGATTAGCATCGAAATGCATCAGTGTAGAAGAAGAAAAAAAGAAAATCTGATGTGTTCTAATTCAAAAAAAGTAGCTATGTGTATTCTTTGTTTAAATGAGTTACAAGCGAGAAACCGTTCAATATGTTCAATGTTTCAACGTATATCGGTGGTCTATGGAGAATAAAATATACAAATATATATTCTTCATCTTCTCGTTTTGTATCTTTTTGTCTTTTCTAATCAACACACTAAAATGTATCATATTACATGGATCTATCAATCTATCTACCTTCTTTAATTTCGCTTCAAAAGTATTGCCATTGAAAGAAATTTTGGTAATACTTGTCAAAGATGATGAATTGTTATGTTTATGATGATATAAACGTAATACACATAGTGTGTTTGTACGCTTTAAATTCATCTAGTTAAGGAATGATGTCAATTGTTGAGCTATTTTACACTATATTTCATAAGACAAGTTATCTTCGTTTGTTATGTGTATGTGGGTATTGTGGTGGTGGTGGTGGTTGGCTGGAAGAAGGTGTCGAGCAATCCTCCTGAGAGACATAATCTCATCAGTACAGCTACTCATACTATCCACTTATATTCAGGACAACTGTAAACTTGCATAATATCAATAAACGTTAGTGAAACTCATTAGATGTAGCTACGCTGTATTTGATGGATGAAGCTGGCTATCTTGGGAATAGTCAGATTATTTCACTGATCGTCTATAGACATCTAAAGGCAAATACAGCATTTTGTGGAGATCTCATGTTACTTATCTGGGCAGTTGAACTAGATTAGACGATCATCACCATCAACATAGGATAAGCGATTACTGTATAACGATCCAAGTTGCCGCCATACCTCATATCAGCACACCAAGTAAAAAAGCAATAACATGAAAGATGAAGAAACATAGAAGAATCGGTTAAAGTTGATAGAAACTAGTAAAAGGGAGGAAGGATGAGGAAGAAGATACTGAAATTCACTACGACGATTATGATGAAGGTAATGTGTGCATACATCTGCGCTACCGAGATTGATTCTAAGCCATTACATGTCGAGTCTCCAGCTACTGGTTTATGCTGTCACGTGGACCGTGACCAGGAGGTCTACATTTCTATACATTGCTCAAAGTTTTCATGTAGTGATGCTGTGTTTTAGTCTAGCTGGCCCTCACCGTTTTCCAGTATAGAACTACTTTGGCAAACATTGCACGACAAGGAAGACTGTGGCTAGACATGCATAACATATATATGCCAGGCACCTCAGTTGATGAAGGTTCATAGCCGAATCAACTGACTTTCTTTTTCTCTCTAAAACTCTACGCTTAACTTCTTCCATACCGATGATAACACTATGACACATGGCCTATGCTTCAAAGTCACCAGTGGTGAAACACACGAAGCCATATTTTACAGTCATATAGAAGAACAGAGCGAAATGCAGCACAGTACAATCAACCCTTAGTCGAGATTCTGATGTCACAGTGGCACAGTAGACTGCTTAAGTTGGCTAGAGTCAGTCGAACGTTTTGTATCTATTGAAAGATTTCATCGGCCACTGACTTAACAGAGCTAATACGATATTCCCAGTAAGCGAAGTGTTCAACGCATTCAACCACTTTACTTTCTGTTGTTAGCCGCAGCATCGTTGAAGACTAGTACTGGAGCAACAATTTGCATTTTAGTGGCGAGAAACACTCTTGATATGCTCAAATTGCCACTAAAGGTGTTCAAAAGACTCTGCATTTCGTCAAGGAACTACATCATTTAACTTCTCTAGATAACGCGAGGAGCTATCCATAAGTACGTCTATGATAAAGTTGAGTAAGAGCGTTAAGAGTGGAGATTTTTGACGGACACCAATCGACATACACAACTCATCGAATGATGGAATTGATTCATTGCGGACTTTTTTTCATCCAGAGACTAGATGCTATTAGAGTGAATAATTCCGGTATTGTGGATCTATGATCCATCTATTTAGGCAGTTGATTTTCAACCATTGGGTCATACGTTTGAAGCCTACTCCACCTACCGAAGTTTAGCAGCCTGTAGTATCACTAACCTTCGGACAAAAGTTATAGCTCATTGCCTACGGCATAAATGTGAACGCTGAGAGCATTTCCATTCTTAATGAACAGCATTATGTTACGATTGTCTATCAGTGTCACATTTCTCCATTACTGATGATGAATAAAAAAAGGGGTGGCACAAAAAGAGAGAAGTGAGTATATGTTTAGTTGGTGAAACGGGAAGTTGCTTGTTGTGATTACTATGTGACAGTTCATTTCACTTGTCGGACTGTAACTTTCTGGTCTAGCTGGTCGATTTTCAGCTAGAAGGTTAAGAATTCGAACACAGGTCTGAACCAACCAAGTAGTATCGCAAACTCTTATGTCAGTAGGTAATGGTCATTATCTAGTGCTAGAAACTGCTCATGTACATCTGACTGTTCCGTTCACTTAGTGAACGAGATACCAACACCTCTATAGACCAAGGTGAAACATAATAAACAGTCTAAGGAAATAAAATTATATATATATATATATATATATATATATATATATATATATATATATATAACTACTTTGTAGAAGCCGCTTCTTTGAAGGATAAAACTTTTATTAGAGAAGTGGCTTCCACGAAGTTGTGAAACGTCAGAAATTTATCTTTTTACCTCATTGAGTTTTCATAAATATATTTCCGTTACAAACCATTAACTCAATGCTCAACTTGTTTAGTTTTATCACGTCAAATTTTACTCCTGAAGTCTACAAAATAATGTACAACAAAATATGTTGTCTTATATGTATTGAAGAAGGGCATTTAACTGCAATTGATTGACAACTGACAAAATCAACGTAGAACCTCGCGTACAAAGGTGAATCGGCACAAGCTGCCACACTTTACAGTATTTTTAAGAAGAACAGATGGAGAGAATAAGAATGGTATCAAAGTAGATAATTTGAGAGAATAAACAATCTTCAGATGAAAGTGTCTGCGAATATTCAGGCTTTAGACGATGTCAATGAGTGAATACATCTTTGCCAAAGTGATCGATTTCGAGCCATGTAATCGAAATTCCTCAATCGCTGATTCACGTCGTCTGAGAGAACCCAGTTGGGTAGTGTACACCTACCCTGAACGGTTCACAACAGTGGTAAGAGACTTTATCAACTGGTGCCAGGTGTTGGTCTTGCCATCCTAAACCCTTTTTCAGCCTAATCGAACTTCCCTTAGCATGCCACATCGTTGTAGGCGGTGATTGAGCTATGCTCAGTACATGTTCAAACCATCTCAGTCGAATAAGGTTCACCAGCTCATCAATCGACTTGCGTGTCTTGCCTAGGACCATTCACCTGACTTCAACATTGCTTACATGGTGATTTCACTAGACACCAGCAGTACTACCCTTTTGTCTGGTTAAAGACAAGAATACAAAGCTGTAAACAGTTAGTTGTGAGAGTTGTTTCGCACATTCAAAGGAGAATTTAAATTTCTGAAACGTCAAAGTTAGTGTTTACTAGTTTCTACTTGGAGCGAAAATCGACTCAATGAAGTTTAAATCTGACTATGAGGTTGTGTTGTAGTTTCCATCAGAAACCAAAATGGTTAGATTACAAATTATGATGTTCTCAACATGAAGAATGGTGTCACGAAATTACACCGAAGGGTCGTAATATATACTACTGATTAATATGAGTAGTCAGAACCTGCTCTACCTAAGCAGCACTACTTCCTAGCTAGATTTGTGGGTTGAAACTATTTGGTTAATGTAATTAGAAGACGTAGATTATCTGGAAAAGATGGTAATGTATTAGCGCTATACATTTCGAACAATTTGATCACACATTTACTTGTCTAAAGGCATTATATATGAAAACTGGAAGTGGGGAAGGACAAATATGACATAAAGGAATTCAACAATAAGAAGAATAGTGAGAGGAGAGAAAAAAAGATAAGATTTGAAGACAATCTTGATAATACGATAAAATAAGCATTACCAAGGTAGGCTTAATGTAAGGACAAACTGTTTTTGCACCCCGTCAATGGGGGGTTAAAATTATTTATGGCTAGCGCCTCAACAAACTTAAGTATACGCCCCTGACAGTTTCTGTACAAAATTGTAAAGGCTGTTTTGATATCAATCCTGTGACTCTTATCAATGATATGTTTTGCAATGGATGCGGATGATGGTTGTCTGCCATGTGTGCTTATCAATGTTTATGAATCCAGCTGCTTTTGTAGCCATTTTGGAACATGTTCCCCTACCCTCAAGTGCATATCACGATTAGTCCTCTCTATGCATGTTTATCCATACACATACATGTAAATGCGGTGTGACGCAATCGTTTATACAGCGTTGAGATCTAGGTTGCAGCAAGTGTTTGGTCTTCTCAACTATGATAAGCTTAGCTGCATAGTACGTTTTGCTAACAACAGACCTTAACCTTCGTTTTGGTATTATGCTGTTAGATTCTCCTCTGTGTATGGTAACGCGATGTAAACGCATTTCTTCTAAATAGAATACAGATTAGGTTTGAATCTTTGCTGAGTTTTGCAGCGGTTTATGAACTTTAATGGATATCCATTTTCCACTAATGTTCCCGTTAGTATTTCGATATCATCATAATATATGATATCACAATGAAATCTAGCAACTGAATTAAACCTGTTTGTTTCGTTTTTGTGACTAATTGAGAATTAGAACAAGACATGTAAGCGAACAATATTGTTTTCAGTTAGATCCTCTTTAGGCTTTACTCTAATACAAATAGCTTTATATATATATATATATATATATATATATATATATATATATATATATATATATATATATATATATATATATATATATATATATAGTTTCGAGAAGTATTCCCGAAGTTCCAATGACAAGTCGTGACCGGTGGAGTCAAAGCCCGATGGTCATGAGGACAAATACTCAGCGATGACATTGGGTGACGGTTGCGTTATATATCGTGAGCTAACAGAATTTGGAAATATGGAGCATTGAGTTCTGACCCAGTGGCTCAATGGTAACGCGCTGGCCGCGGAACCTGAAGGTCTCGGATTCGATCCCTGCTGGTGGGGTCGTGGGTGCGCACTGCTGAGGAGTCCCATACTAGTTGGACGAAACGGCTGTCCAAGGCTCCCAGGTTTCCTTTGTTCCTCCAACTGATGTCAGTCTTCGATGAATAACAACTTGAAATATTTCCAAATCTCCACAACCCCCTCAAAATTTAGATAAAGTTATTAACTAAGTAATCTTCGGCCAAGGGAGAGATAAGGGATATACAAGCTTCTTCTGGATAAAAAGGCTAGGATTATTAGCTCGAATTCCCATAGCTTCTGCTATATGGTGTAAAAGACAAGTTTGAATGTCTTTTGAAAGATGAGGTGGTATACGGTGAATAATCGTGAAAGCATTGTTCTTATCCACCATGTGACCACTATTAACTAGGTGAAATGAGATA